AACAAAGACTAAAATGTTAATTTTTATCTCTATCCAAGCCTTTTATGATGTTATCTGGCAAGAAACAGGATTTGATGTTACAAGTACATAACTGCACTGATCCTTTACCACGCTGTGTGAATGTCTCTGATAGCAAAGGGACATGGCATGCATTTGCATGTGTAGAATTGGGGCCCAACAGCTTAGGTCCTGCTGAGGTCAAGGCACAGAGATCCAGACAAACAGTGATTTGGAAAATTTACAGTAGAGAGCATGGTTGTAGAAAGGGAAAGTACACTGACCATTCCAAAGGAACCAACTCCTTTTTTAAATCTCTTAATCTGCTTTTCATTATCTCTGTGGGGAGGCCTCTTGAGAAAAGCAGCTCTTTGACTTGAATAAAGGAGGGGCTGTGGGCTTGCATGCTGGAATGGGGAGGTCATTGTACGGCAGTGTGGAAGATAGGAGTGTCAGTCAGGTCAAGGAGAACAGGATGGAAAAGTGTGAGATCTGTGTTACAGACTTGGTCTGCATTATGAAAGGTAGAAGGTTTAAAGCTGAAAGGCAAATAAGAGAGAGTGAATTCAAAGGTTGGAAAGACACATTCTGGTAGGGTTATTCAGGCTGACTGTAAGGGAAAATATGAGCCAGGACTGATAAGATCATCATCAAAACCAGCAAGAAAGAGGTAACGACAGCAGAGGCCCGAGGGGGCTAAATTCTACACAGGAATTTTAAGCATCAGGCTTCAGCAAATGAACATATCCATCTTCAGTATTTTTCATTTGCTCTTTTAACAGAAATGCTTAGCTCTGCTCACCTCCTCTGAGGCAGAGAAAGCACAAATATGCCTGGGGGACAATGGGACAATGTTGCATTTTGCCTGCACCAGGTCATATACAGCTGTGTGCATGTGCTGGCTGTAACCTGCTCCCCTCCAAACCAGAACTTACCATAAGGAGCCTCAGCCTTGCAAAATTGCTAAAGTAAGTTACATTGCTGCCATTAAAATGGCCCTTGGAAATAGCACTTTTTCTCCTTTTTAGAATACAAAGGTAAAAATGCTCCTAAAATGGTATTTCTTTAATGGACACAAACTGAAGGGTATCTGTTTTGGAGGGACCTCCTGTCTTTCCAGTACTCCTATAACACTGCTTGACTTTACCAAGAATTTTGTGATATACAAGGAGTGCAGGAACAGGTCTACAAAATCTGGGATGGGGTGGAGGACAGCCTCCCCAGTCACATGCATTTCTTGTTTTGCTTCTTGATGGGTGCATAAAAGCAGTGGTGGCAGATTTAGGGCTTTTATTGACAATAATACAACATTTGGTGTTTTCTTAAAGACCTAACTCTGAGAGGCAGATAATGACATAAGACTGTTGGCTTTCTGCATTTCTGATTACAGACAGGAACTTGCAAACCCTACAGCCTAAAAAATCTTGGAGATCAAGAATAACTCTAAATGCATAGTTTTAATTCCTGTAATTCATAAAATCAAACTGATTCATTTGGAGGCACAACAGGTTACTTAAATACAGCACTGATGATTTTGCAGCAAAATCTGTCTTTCTCATATCAGCTGGAGCTAACAGGTGTGTTTGTAACACTAGAGACTCCTTTTTCCTCTCCCTCTGTATTTCTCGTTTCTCTAAATCAATTTGCTTTTTATGGCTACATTCACGGTTTTTTTTTGGTTGTGCACATAGCCTGAACACCGCCTGCTCTCCCTCTGCTTGACCCTGCCTTGGCCAGAACCTTGTGGCTTTCTCCCCATGTGTTCCTCCAGTGCCCCAGTCTCTCTTTGTGCAGCTTCTCCTGTTTCACATAAGCTCCATCTGCTGGGAAAAGGGAGAACCTCAGTGGTTTTCATTCTGAACTGCAAATGCTTTTCCCTCAATTTGTAAAGATTTTCAAAATTACCTGTTTCTGCTCCCCCAGCTGTGCTCTTGGCCCACCTGCATGCCAAATTTAACTAATGACAACCTAATATGTTATTTGTATGGCATTTTGTGTTGCTGATTTGGGTCATGCCTAAGCAATCTTTTAAAATACCACTTTTTGACTTGAATTTGAGCAGGTTGTTAATTATCCTTGAAGGGGAATGACTGAAGCACATAATTTCCATCCAGGTACTCTCTGTGTGGTTCTTTAGGGCAGTGTTTGAAAAGGCACCCAGGGCAGCCTGTTTCTGTGCTAATGTGTAGCCAGGGCTGCTTTGTTTTGGCACATTTACAGACAGAAGTGAACTTGTGACCTGGACGTACATACAGCAAATCTGTAATCCAGCCACCACTTGAACTTTTACCTTTGGGTGTAACATTGACAGAGCAACAGGCTTCAGTATCCCATGAATCTCTCCTAAAAATCCCTGACCATGAATGGAAGTATTTTCTTTAAAAAACTACTAATAATCTGTTGCCTTTCTCCCTGGAGTAGAAACTTAATGCAACTTGCTACACAGTAATGCCTTTTCCCCCTCCTTTCTTCACATTTACGCTGAACACTGGTGAATAAAGATGAGGTTAATCCTGTATTGTTAAACCTATTCAGGGAGACAACCTGGGGGTTGCCATGGAAACAGATTCTACAGCCTAAAAGCATAGTTCTGCTCTGAAGGACTGTCTATGGACCTGTACTGCACGTAGCTTACTGAGTCACACTGTGTACACAAACACCATGTTGCAGCAGCGAAATGGCAAAGGTGCCTCCCAGCTCATCAGATGTTAATTACGCCCCCGCCTCCTCCCACTTACAGCCAGAGCACCAAACACTGCCCCCCTCCCGCTCCTGAATCCCATCTTGCAGCCCTTCCTGCCAGCTCCGTTTGTCCTCGGGGTGTGCTGGGGAGCCCAGCCCGTGGCTGTGTCCCGGGCAGGAGCGTCACAGATTCCGTACTGTCACACAGCCACTGTCACAGGCTACAGGGCACCTCAAGCTGGGCGTGGGGGGAGCTGCTACCAATCCTCAAAAATATCAACAGGATCTAGGAGAGCTTCCTGGGCCCTGTCTTCAGGGAAGGGGTGACCAACTTACAGTTCTCCTCCTTGTTCATATCAACACTTGCCCCCCAATTTCTAGATAGATTTCTAAACTGCCTCAATAAAAATTACAGATTCATCTGCTCCTTTGTCATGTCTACACAGGCACTGCAGAGCCCTAGGGTTGTTCTGTGCTTTTATAGGTCTTATGCATCATACCTCTCTCAGACAAGTGAAACAGTCCTGCCTCTGTGATATCACTGGGCTCTGCTCATACAGCAATAAAATACACATTTCAGTACTCACACAGCCTATAAAAACCATCAAAATTTCCTTATATTTGGAGGTTGTTTTGGATTGGCTTAGACAACTCCTACCTTGCTTTTGCTTCTATTTAATATCCAGGCAAAAAAAAATATTTAACATGAAATAGTAATCTTAGTTTTGTCCAAATATTACATTTATTTTAATGATTCTCAGATCCCTATTATATCCATCTAGAAAGAAGGCTTTGTATTTCTTCCTTTTAGTCTCTCTCATCCTATTCCTGCTGGAAAACAGATTTTTCAGCAAGATGGCTGACGACTTTTCCAGACAACATCGTTGCTTTAAGAACCAGGTCTAAAATGGCTGTGTAGCTGTTGATTTTTTTATTTTTTTTTTTACAGAACTCCAAAACGTTAGTAACTATGTGGTATTGTGTTTTATTCTTGGGAATAAGTGTTTTCTCTGTGAGCTCCTGTAGAAGGTGTTTTTCTTTAAAACAAAAACTGACTCCTGTGGAAGGCCCATGTGCCACCTACAGTCACTCAGTTTTCCTGTGGGAGCAATTTGTACAAATACTTGAAAATTTTTAATTTTCAGTCTTTTCTTAAGCATTACTTCACAATGCTTGGTAAATGAACACAATCAATTAGTATTTTTAAACTGTATCTATTTGGGAAATTTTCACAGAATGTATAATCAATCCTTTTCATATACAGTAGCAAACCCTGTAACTTCCAGGTACAAACAAATCTGGAACAAAAGACTGTACAAAAACATAACGAATTCAGCTCTGAAAAGACCCATGCATCTACATTGTCTGCTACCCTGAATACTAATGAATTTAATGAAACTATTGAAAGGCTGGTTACTTGTCTGCATAAATGTATTGAGACCTCTGTAATCATCTGTTTGCTGTCTGAAACCTCTTGTCAATAGTTTAATGACTTCACAGCATATTATTCTTCTTGTATAGGCTTCATATAATGTTTCTACATAATTAAGCAGCTTTGTTAGAGGAACTGCCATTAGTTGCCCCATTTCATTTGGTTTTGTTATCAGCCAACCAGAAAGAAAAAAAGAATAACAAGAGAAAGATACAAACGCAATCTAGTGAGAGATGTGGAGATTGGGAAGATGTTGTTCATTTGGGTTTTTTTATGCCATTAACCTAAAGCACTATTGTCAAGTTGCACATTTTAAATAATTTTAACCATTTAAATGCAGTACATATTTAAATACTTGTAAAACAAACACAGCTGGCTAAAAATCTTGCAGTACATTTGGGAGCCTAACATTTTAAAAGCAGCTTTAATAAGAATATAACTAGTAATATCCATTAATTTGTTAATTATCACTAAATGTAATTAACACTAGGATTTCTACAGGCTTAGTGAGAAAAGTGTTGTGATTTTTTTTACATTCAGACAATTGCATAGTCCATCTTCACGAATACTTTTGAATTTTAAATATAAGTAATATAAATTTCATCTAAATTTTTTTGTACTTCGGAGAAACCCTGAGCATCTTCTTTAAAAACATAAAAGAACTCCATAAAATTACCAACTAATTTCATGCATTTGTCTAGTCCTAAGCACGAACAGATAAAGTGCAAACTCACTTGCTTTTTATTGCTATGAGACACTGTTTTCAGTCATGTTTTGGGTCAAACCTTAACTCTTCTGTTATCCCTTATGTATAAGGTTAAGTAACATATATTTTCTTTGGGGTTGAGGCAGGTGTAGAGGTGACCAAGTGCCTGGTGTTGTGAGTTACCTGTGAGGCAGAAGAGCTCTGGTCCCACAGCTCCCTTGTCCCCCTGGAGCCCTGTCCTTGGGGCAGCCATCTTGTTGGCAGGGCTGGCAGCCATCTTGTCCACAGACAGTCCCAGCAGCTTTTCCCCCATTTTTTTCTGGAACAAGGAAGGCATTAACACCCAAACCTCATGTACACAGTTTGTAAAATGTCACTGTTCTCGGATTAAATTATAATTTCTGCAGTTATTCACTGCATCTACCAACACAGTTAAAAACAAAGAAATACCAGATAATACTGCATTAACTGAGTTCTGAAATATTTGATAAGCGATCCTACTGCTGGCCAGGACTCGACTAGCATGTGAAGAATTATCATACTGCTTGTAGTCCAACTATTAACCAGCACTAGCGTGGCACATCTGACAACTGACCGATTTATGTGCTATTTCCTATTAAAAACCATCGCAGCTCCACCAGAAAGCCATTTTTTCTGCCACACCCCGAGATCCACAAGCAACACACGTGTGTGCAGGAGAATGCTGCCGCCAGCCTTGGCGTGCGGGCACACGGCCGCACCCAGCGCGGGATCACAGGGCCGAGAGGGCTGGGAGGGACCTCTGGGCATCACCCGATCCAACCTCTGCCCAAGAGGAGAGCACCGGGCGCTGCCGGAGCGCTGTACTTTTCGCCGGGGTTATGTGTGGCCACGGCGCTCTGGGCGGCTCCGTGAGGCACCGGTGCACGCCCTTCACAGCGGGCACGGTCTGCGGCCTTCCCAGCTTGGCGGGACCATGGCCTGCGAGCGAGCCACGCTCAGGAAAAGAAACCCCAGCACAGGGACAGCCCCCGGTGCCCATCGCAGCTCCCCTCGGGCGGCTGTGGGGAAGAGCCGCAGCCGCGCCCGCCCCTCGGTGACGCCATCCCCGCCGCCCGGCGCCACCGCCGCTCTCACCGTGCGCTCCGGACTACGGCTCCCGACGTGCCCGGCGCCGCGGGGCGGTGCCGGGCGAACGCGGCTCCCGGGCGCTGCTGGGCGTGTGGGGATCGCCGCGGCCCGGGCGGCGGGACAGGAGCGGGGCCGGAGCCGCCCGCCCGCCCTCCGAGCGCCGCTATGGCGTCCATGCTGCTGCAGAGCTGCGGGCGGCGCGCCTGCCGCCTGCCCCGAGCGCTGCGCCGCCCGCCGCGGCCCGGTGAGGCTCCCCGCGGGCCGCCCGCCGGCTCCGGCCCGCCGGGCCTGGCCGGGAGGGTAACGGGGGGGGAGAGCGGCCGGAGACGTCTGGGGGGCTCCGGGCGTGGGCGGAGAGGCCGCTGCGGGAGGGAAGGGCCGCGGCCGGGTCCCCGCCGCTCTGTCCGCCGGGGCTGGCGCTGCTCCCGGCCCGGCCCACGCTCGGCGGCTGCTGCGGCCTCCTCGCATGTGCTTCCGCGGCAGCGTGGTTGGATGGGATGAGTTACCCTAAGGGCAGTGGGACACGCGTGTCTCCGAAATGCCGGCTGGCTGGGGAAGGGAAAAACACACGTGCTTTTTGTTAAAGTGCAGGAACGCGTTAGTTACTACGTCTCGGTCCTGCCTGCCTTGCTCTCGGCGCGGCTTGGGTGTGAAGTGGGGCTGTCACTAGTAATGCGCTTCTTCTCTCTGTGAAAGCACAAGGGGCTGTTTTCTTAGTCTGTGTTAGGGACGAAATATGAATTTGCCTTTTTCCAAATGGCTTTGGAAGCTTAGGAAGATAAAACGGAAGCGCATTGTGTGATACTGATTAATAATGAAGATAATTTGGCAGTTTAAATATCTCTGGTTGGTGAAGCTTTGTGGCAACAAAATTAAACAACTGATAACTTGTGAGGTACTCGGGGCCTGTGGCTGCTCTTTACGTCCTGAGCTGGAATGGCAGGGGGTGAGCAAGGGATTGCCTGTCCCTGACACAAGGAGGGCCCTGAGCTGGAATGGCAGGGGGTGAGTGAGGAATTGCCTGTCCCTGACACAGGGCCCTGGGCTGGAATGGCAGGGGGTGAGTGAGGAATTGCCTGTCACTGACACAGGGAGGGCCCTGAGCTGGAATGGCAGGGGGTGAGCAGGGACTTGCCTGTCCCTGACACAGGGAGGGCCCTGAGCTGGAATGGCAGAGGGTGAGCAGGGACTTGCCTGTCACTGACACAGGGAGGGCCCTGAGCTGGAATGGCAGAGGGTGAGCAGGGACTTGCCTGTCACTGAGCCCCGACTTGTCATGGGAGTGCTATCACTGAGAGCAGAGCAGCTGCACGCTCACATCCAGGCAGACCTGATGAGCTATAGGGATGCTTGTTCATTGCAAAGAACAGCTGTCCTCTTGGTTACCAATAGTCACTCAAGCATGGTATCTTCCTCTGACTGATAGGTTTTGTGAGCTACTGTTGTAGAGTCATTTATTTAGGTTAAGCCTGGACAGTATCCTGAACAAAAACCTGGGGTATCCTAACCACCCAGTTTATTTAAAATGGGGAAAAAGCACATCCATGTACCTTCAAATTAGATGGGAGCTTTGATTATTCTTGTGGCATAGCATAAAAAGTACTGCTAATGATCGCTGCAATTTTGGTTGTTATAAATCTTAGACAACCTAAGCTGAAATGCTGTGATAGAATCAAATAATTAGTTTGCTGTGGTGCACTGTGGTAATGATACAATTAATACTTTTATTTGGGGTGTTAATCTATTATTAACACATTCTTGTATGTTGTATTTTTTTCTGTATTGTTTTGCTTTACTTAGCTCATCTTCTTTGCTTTACGTGTAAGTAGTCTAAGATTAAGTTAAAGCTAAGTGCTTCTAAGAATCCTAAACGTTATTCCTGTGAAGATCAGACTGTTAAGTACTGCAAGCTTACACTTCTCTAGGGACTTACTTCATGATAGCATTTTATTTTTAAGAATTCTAAGCATAGTAACAGTATGGCTATTCTACATTAAAAACTTTGGGTTTCATGCTTCATTAAATTCAAGTATAAACTTTCCCGTGACTACTTTTCCATGAGGAACATGTTAACATACAGCTTCTCTGGCACTACTGCCCTTCTTTCTTACTAAGCCAGTGCAGGTTTCTTAAATGAGCAGTGTTGAGCAATGTTCACCTTGTTCAGATGCTTTTGGATGTCTGTATTATCCCAGAAGCAAGGATTGTGGACTTTGCCCCTTTTTGAAGGAAGTATATCTTTTATTTCAGGGCTGGTTTACCCGTAGGTGTATGGTTATAAGAGACACTGCAGAACCTAAAGAGCTCTGGTCAGAACTGGCAAAGTTGGAATTAACATTTTTTGTTAGCCTGTTCACACTCTGAATGTGCTGTACAACAAGAAGCTCAGCATGTTTTCTTATGGTAACCTTGGAATTTTGTTCTTTGACCCCTTCATTAACATTTAATAGGCCCGGTTGGAAAGAAGGTAAGTGAGGTGAAAGTGTCTTGCCTGCTATGGAGTTTTATCTGAGAAACTCCAAGCCAGTTGAGTTCCAGATCATCCCTCCTGTTCTAGGGGCGCTGTCCATAGCAGGCAATGTCCTCTCCTGGCAGGACCCTTGCTTTAGGCACACAAGGCTTTGTGGGTTTCCTGGCACTCGGCTGAGACAGATTACTGTGCTGTGACTTATCCCTCCAGACACTGAGCACTTCTCTGCTTTGCTCAGCTGCTCCTTGAGGTCAGGGATGTCCTTCTGGCTTGGCCTCTTGGGTTGTTATTTAGCTACTGTTCTTTCTGTAAATATTGGAGAGTATCACAATGCCTTCACAGATTCTCAGGGCTTGCTTTTGGAGCCAGAAATAGACAGTTTTTCCCTGGCTCAAAGTGCCATGACAGTGTGTGTTTACCCACTTGACATGGGTAAATCCTTTGACTTAGTAATGCCACAGCTTTTGTTGTAATTTCTTCAGAGCCCACTTAGCATGGGACATCCCTTGATTATCAAGATTTTCCTCAGATAAGTTCACTTATCTTCTATACCTTCTGATTGTCCCGTCTGATTTTGGCAGCATCTCTTTTCTCTAATAATTAGGGTGTTTTGTTGGGGAGGGCTTTTGGCCATCAGCACTGGGAGCTGTGTTTCTCATAGGTGTCATATAGGTGATACATGTGTCTCATAGGTGATACAGATGTCTACTTTAGGTTCTGTCATAGGCCTCTTCTTGGCTTTGATGGTGGGAAAGGGTACTATGGACCTCTCAAATAACTTCTATATCCTGCTGGTTCTTAGGATTGACCAGAAATGGTAGGTTCCAGATGGGAGAAGCAAACCACAGTATGCCTACTCTGTCTAGCCTTCCAGTTTTACTTTGGTTACAGTGAATTCTGGAAAGATTGACTAAAAACAGTCAACACATTTGAAGTCTTGCTTGCGTGATTTTTTTTTTTATGATCTGTCCAGAAGTCTTTTTGCTCTTGGCAGTAGCTACCCATTGAGTTACTGTAGCAAGATGTTAATACAAGATTTATTTTTTTAAGTTGCCTTAGGAAGATGAATTCCTTTCTAGTGAAATCAGGGATGACTTTCAGTGACTGTAGACTGGTAGCATTTTATGTGGTTTATGCTTCTTCTGTGGTTGGAAGGCTTTCGGACATGGCCCTTTACTGAAGCACGTGACTTAGATGATTCATGATTCGAGGATCTTCTCAATTTATTTCCAGAATGGATGCTGCTTGTCTGTGTACCTGGATAGAGGGTGCTCATATATAGGTGTCAGCCCCTCTTTTGGATTTTATTAGATGCTATTAGGACTGATCCTGAGGTAGTGTTTCAAATAAAATTCATGTTGAGGGATACAATATTTTCTGGAAAGTTAACTTCTCACATGCTTTGGGTCAGGCTCTCACCCCTCCCTTCAAGACAATTTGTATCCTTTGCAGAGAGATCATGGGGCAGAGCTATTTTTACCAGGTGCTAATCAAAATGGGCAGCAATGTATTGAAATGGTGTTGTGGTTCTGGTTCCATCTCTCTAGTGAAGTCTCTTTAGGTTCCTGCTTGTGTTTTATTTGTTTTGCTTAAAACCAAAAAGCCATTTTAATCCTAAACACTTGGCAGGGGCTCCATTTGGATCATCTGATACTATGTTGTCATAGAGCTGTTAAAAAATTACATTTGCTTTCAGTGAATTTCCTCTGCAATACAGTTTCTTGCCTGAGGGACTTGGAAACCTGTCTTCAGACAGTTGAACAAGAGGAACCCAACCTCAGACATCCACAGAATTCAACTCTGAATGTTAGGCAACATCTTTTTTGTGCTTTCAAACGCAGTCATTTCTATGTAAAGATTAATCTTTTCACTTATATTTGTGTGCAGTTCACTACGTGGATAAATGTCTTCCTGAATTTCAGAATAGGTGCTAATTATTGGTATTTTTCTAGGTAACTTGGGAGATCGGGCATGTCTTAGCTGCACATCCCTGAGGCTGGCAAACAAAATGTGAGTAAATATGAACATTTTTCTGAACTATC